CAACTCTAGATGTACACTTAAGTCATAGTAGGGCTTTGTAAAAGAAAAAAAAAAACACTTGATGCCCAGTTTCATCTAAGATCAATTAAATCAGAATTTCTGAGGATGAGGAGACATTAAGTAGGGGTCTGGAGAGACAGAAAAGAGCTTACTTTGCACATAGCTGACATAGGTTCAATCCCCAGCATCACATACAGTCCCCCACACTCTGCCAGAACTGATCCCCAAGCACAGAGCCAGGAGTGTGTCCTGAGCTCCACTGGACGTGGCACAAACCCCCCCCCCCCCCCAGAAAATAAGAAAGAGAGAGAAAGAGAGAGAGAGAAAGGGAAAAAGGAAAAGAGGGGAAAAGGGAGAGAGGGAAAGAGAAAGAGAGAAAGGGAGAGAGGAAGAGAAAGAAAGGAGAAGACTAAATATTTTCTAATGATCCTTAGTGATTCAAACAGAAGGCTGAGGTTGAGAAGCTCATAATAAGCATACATCATATAAGCAAATAAACATGGAATGTCATATAACTGGTTAACATCTCGAGAAAATCAATGAGTTTGTACTGAGCTTACATTTTGCATGCCATAGATAATCACTTACTTCATTAAAATACACTTTGTGTTTCATCACTGGTAGACATGCATGAATGAGTGTGAGTGCTTTCCACAACAGAAATCCAGGCTTAGCCAATTAATATTAACCTAAATTATTAATATTAGACTCCTAAACATTATCCTTCGTTCAAGGTTAACTACAATAATGCAAGTTATTCTAGTACTCTTTTTTGTTTTGTCTTGGGGCCACGCCCGCTGTGCTCAGGGCTTACTCCCAGCTCTGCGCTCAGGGATCACGGCCGGTGGAGCTGGGGGAGCCGATGGGGGCAAACCAGTGCTGGCCGTCAGTGTCCAAGGCAAGTGCGCTACCCACTGTACTATCTCTCCTGTTCCTTGTAGTTTTTTTTTTAAAGAGAGGTAGATACAAGCAAATCTTGTCATTTGCAACAAGATGATGGATCTTGGGCATTACTCTATGTGAAAAAAGTCAGAGAAAGACAAATACTGTATGATCTCACTTTTCTGTAGACACATTTTCTTAAAATATTAAACCCGCAGATAGAGAGAACGGACAAGCGGCTGCCAGACAGAGGATGGGAGTCAGGCCAAATGGGTAAAAGAGTTAAAGAGGAGAAACTTCAAGTTATAAAATATGTAAGTCACAGAGGTATAATGTTCAGTATGGTGACATGGGTATTAGAAAGCTGAAAGGAAAGTAGATCTCAAAAGACTTCCCAGGGGGGGAAAAAAATTCTGTGTGGTAATTATTATTATCTAGACTTGTGCTCCTTCTGAAATATATATAAATATGAAATTATTATGGTATACATAAAAAGGAGCATAATGCAACATTATAAATTGTATCTCAGCTAATATCCAATTTGGTCGAAGACCAAAGCACCCAGACCACTAAGCACAAGTTAGCAAAAAGAGATCTCCCAACAGCATTAAAAATTTTTTTCCAGGGCTGGAGTAATTGCACAGCGGGTAGGGCGTTTGCCTTGCACACGGCCGACCCGGGTTTGATTCCCAGCATCCCATATGGTCCCCCAAGGGGTAGTTCCTGAGTGCAGAACCAGGAGCAACCCCTGAGCATCACTGGGTGTGACCAAAAAAACCAAAAAAACCACCCTTACTTCTACTGATCTCAAGATCAGTAGAAATAAGGACATAGGATACAATGAGTCTCGCTTTCACCACAATACACCTGGTTCATTTGAAGGGGAGATTGTCAAAACAGACCAAATGAAGGGAGGAAGGTAAAAGACACAAAGCGTGAGGAGCAAGGGGCTGGGGACCAGTCCACCAACAGCAGGGCTGGCCTCTACAGGCTGTTCAGAAGGGAAGGCAGAGTTCAGATTTAGCTACAAGTTTGTCAAGAAAATCAAAAAAGAGGGGACTGGAGCAGTAATATAGAGGGTAGGGAGCTTGCCAGGCAAACTGATCCCTTAGCACAGAGCCAGTAGGAAACCCTAAGCACCACCTGGTGTCATCTCAAAAAAATACTTCCCCCAAAAAAAGGAAAGACGAAAGAGCTAAGGATACATACTAGGTATGAGTTTAAAGCGGATAGGAGTGGCAAGAGAGATAGTTCAGCAGGTAATGCACTTGTACACGGTCGAACCATGCTCGATCCCGGCACCCCATATGGTCCCCTGAGCTTTCCAGGAATAATTCCTGATCATGGAGCAAGGAGTAAGCCCTGCCCATCACCAGGGAGGGCCCCAAACCAAGGAAGGAAGGAAGTTAGGAAGGAAGGAAGTTAGGAAGGGAGGAAGGAAGGGAGGGAGGGAGGGAGGGAGGGAGGGAGGGAAGGAGGGAAGGAGGGAAGGAGGGAAGGAGGGAAGGAAGACAGACAGGGAAACATGGAAAGACTGAGAGAAGAAATAAGAAGAAGGTAGAGAAGGACCATGAGAATCATGGTGTGGAAAGACTATAAGCTCAAGCTCTTAGAGGAAATGAACTGGGAAATTTACATGTCTCAGGAGGATGAGTGCTGAAGATGAGAACTATGGAGGATCTTGTAATTATAAAATCACAGGAAAGTATGACTGGAGGAAAGAGGGTAAGACAAAGACAACTGGCGACGTGCAAGGCACTGAGAGTTCAACTCGCTGGAACAATCATCCACTTAGACACTGAAGCAAAAGTCAAATCAGAAGGAGCACAGAATGATGGCACATGAGTAGGGTGCTATCTTGCAGGCAGCTGACCCAGGTTCTACCAGACATGATCCCCCAAGGTCAGAAGTGATTCCTGACCATAGAGCATAGGAGGAAGCACCGAGCACAACCGAGTGTGGCCAGAAGCCAAAAAATTAAAATTAAAAAAAAAAAATTTTTTTTTTGCTTTTGGAGTCATTTCCAGCGATGCTCAGGGGTTACTCCTGACTATGTGCTCTGAATTACTCCTGGCAGTGCTTGGGGGACTATATGGGATGCCGGGGAACGGACCCAGGTCAGCCGCATGTAAGACAAACGCCCTAGCAACTGTGCTATCACTCTGGCCCCTCAACTTTTTTTCAATCAAAGGAGCATTAGGGAATGAAAGTAAGTAATAGAATGATCCAAAGGTTAACAAATGTGAGGGCTTCAAATAATCACATAGATTTTAAAGCTGCAGAGCAGTATCCAAAGGAAGAATGCCTAGCATTAGCAAGAAGGAGCAAACGGAACAGAAATCAAAGAAGCCAGAGGAGAGGGAAGAATGAAAAATGTTGACCCGTAAATAATCTCAGCCGAACCCAACAGCACAGAACGCCCTGCACCATGGCATTCAGGCCAGAAAGGGTGGGTCCTGCCACAGGCCCGGTGGAAATATCAGCGTTTCTACATATTTGCAATCTGTGATATTCCAGTCAATGTATTTCAAAAATGAGTAAGGGGAAAACATCCTTCCAGGCAGAGAACAACTACAAAAAGGCAAAGGTACAGAAATGAGAAAAGAAGCATGGGTGTTAGAAGAAAACAAGCAGGTCAACAAGATTAAGGGCAGAAAGAGAACGAGCATGAAATGATTAAGGAAGAAAATCGAGTTATATAAGCAGACAGGCAGACCAAGGCCACTACTGAGACTAAGAGCCTTTTTTTTTTTTTACAAAGTCATTAGGAACAAATTAGACTGTTGCTCAGAAAGACTTCGTTAAGTATCTATACAAAAAAACAAAATTGATGGATTTCAGTTTCATATTTTATTACTCTGAGGGAGATGCTGTGGGGGGAAAGAGTAGTTAAAAAAGCCAATTGCTTTATGAAAATTAATAAACTTTTGATGGAAAAAATAGTATAGGAGGTAAGGCACTTGCCTTGCATGTGATTAACTCAGTTCAACTCTCCAGCACCATATATGTCCCCAGTGCACTGCCAGAGGTAAACTCCAACACTGGGCCAGGAACAGTCCCCAACTCCCCCAGGTGGGGCCCAAACCATACCCCCACCACCCAAAAGAATGATTCTCTCCAACTTTCAGCGATCCACTGTTTCCAAATTACATGCAAAAGTTTATGGTCATTATATTATCCAATATCCAACATTTAAAATGTGCCAAATAAATCTGCACACAATTGAGTTTTTTTTTAAAACAATCTTTTGAGATTTTCGTTAACCATTATTTTTTTTCAGATATTTTTGAACAAAGCTCAAACATAAATGTACTAGTAGTAAATTTCTTTGTAACAAGTATACATGCAAACATCTGTATAAGGGTATGTATATGTACATATATAGTGCTTCTATTTAATAACATTGTGAGTGCATAGATAATAATAATGGAATATACAACTTTCATAATCAGTGAATATGACAATTGAGTATCATTATGTAACTTGCCATGTTTGCTGTCTCCATTTTTATTTTAGCAGCTGTGATTTAATTTTTTTAAAAAACCTATCCTTGGGAACCAAAAAACTTTTCTTCAATTATTTGGCCCTGGCATTTGCAAACTATTAAGCAAATTAAATAACCTTTCCGTGGCTGAGTTTTCAATCTGCAAAATGGAAATCAAAAATCCAGGGTCCGGAGCGATAGTATAGTGGGTAGTGTGCTTGCCCTCCATGTGGCCAGCCCGAGTTCAATCCTGTGAACCCTGGAGGGTCCCCTCAACCCTGTCAGAAGTGACATCTGAACACTGAGCCAGGAGTAAGCCCTAAGCACTGCTGCTATGGCCAAAAAAAGTAAAACAAAAAACCATATCTTAGATGGTTCTATTAAAGTTTTTGTGAAGTACTGTATCTGAGTTTTATAACCATAATGAGCTACAGAGTTATTGGATCAAAGGCTTTAAAATATTCTTACTGAAGAGCATAAGTCTTCAAGACATTCACTGCTCCCTCTCCCCACCCCCACCACCCCCTCCACAACACACACACACACACACACACACACACAGCACAATGAAAACCTGAGAGGAAATCTGACAGACCAAGAAGCATGTTTTCACCACCTCTCTTCATAACCTTACCTTCGAATGAGCAGGCCCTCTTTCTTTCAGAAGTTTATACTGGGGTTGGACTCTATTGAAACGGGCTAACTCATTTACCAGACACATTGGAGTTTTCTCTTTGGGGTTTGCCATTTTATCGTGGAGAGAAGCTGTAAACAAAAAGGCTGTAAAATTTTTGTGAAGAATGATTTTACAAAACGGAAGAAAAGCTAGTTTTGATTTTTTTTTAAGATTGAAGTCAGATTATATTTGGATTATTTTCATAAATGTCATATTAAAAATTCAAATATCTAAAATCTACTATGACATTCAACAGAATCATGTATCACAGTGCAAACAAATCAATTAAAATTACTTTTAGTTGGCAACTAAAATATTTTGTATACGTATATAATAACAAAAGGATTTTTAAATAAAATTTTAATTGATCTTATCACGTTCTCATAAAAAGGTTAGCGTAAACATATACTTTTCCTGATTCTTATTATTATAAAGTTAATTGCATCATTAGCTCTTATTGCTTGCTTATTGCTTATTTCTCATTCTAACATGTTAATACAAAAAACCCTCCGGGGCCAAGAAGTTAGTACGGGGGTAAAGCACATGCCTCGCTTGCCATCCCCAACGCCATGTGTTCCCCAAACATCGCCAGTGTGGCCCTGGAGGGTCCCAGAACTCCTGGGCAGGGCTGCACCACACCCTCAGCCAAGCATCTGAACCTCTGGCTGGGGGCCACACTGCTACGAGTGGTGTTCAGGCCGACCCCTAAAAGAAAAACTCTAAACTTGGAAATCAAGTCCTAAGCTTAAGTATTAGCTCTCCTAACAGTACTTTTTGTATCCTCCTTTATTAGTGCTGCTTTTCAATGAAACTCAGAAGTAAAAAGTGCTTAACAGATGCTGTTCTTAACCACCCAGAATTAAGAAATTACCCCATACCTACTTGAAATATTAAAAAATTCATTGAAGAGATATAAAACTTTGGCCCAAGGGGCTGGAGCAATCCTACAGCAAGTAAGGCATTTGCCTTGCACCATAGCCAGCCCAGGTTCAATCTCCAGCACCCCATATGGTTCCCTGAGCACACCAGGAGTAATCCAAGTGCAGAACCAGGAATAACCCCTGAGCATCACTAGGTGTGGTGCCAAAAAACAATAAACAAATATTTTTAAAATAAAAATTAAAAAACTATGGGGGCTGGAGCAATAGCCCAGCAGGTAGGGTGTTTGCCTTGCATGCAGCCAACCTGGGTTTGATTCCCAGCTTCCCATATGGTCCCCAAGCACCGTCAGGAGTAATTTCTGAGTGCATGAGTAACCTCTGTGCATCACCTGGTGTGACCCAGAAAGGGAAAAAAAATAAAAACAAAAAACCCTATGTCCTCAAACACATCGTCTTATAAACCAATGCCACCCAAATAAAAAAAAAATTTAAAAATAACAACTGTGGGGCTGGAGCAATAGCACAGTGGGTAGGGCGTTTGCCTTGCACGCAGCCGACCCAGGTTCGATTCCCAGCATCCCATGTGGTCCCCCGAGCACTGCCAGGAGTAATTCCTGGGTGCAGAGCTAGAGTAACTCCTGGGCATCGCTGGGTGTGACCTAAGAAGCAATAAATAAATAAATAAATAACAACTGTATTATATTCCAGTTAAGTTCCCTTTCTTTTCCTGAAACTGCTACTATATAAATTTAGAATAAATGCCTCTGGGGTATTTTGAAATACATTTATATACATGCATTAAAAAGTGCTAAAATATGTAGTTTTGTATTCACATATAGTGTAACAGACATTCACAACTCAATTGTGGGGATTATAACTTAACACAGATATTGTGTACTACTCTGAACAGCCATATAATTTCCATCACAATACCAGGTTTTTCATCTACTCTCCTACTGACAGACCCACAGGTTGTTTACAAGTCTTTACTCTTATTAGCAAAACACAGTGCCAAACAGTACTCAGAATGATTATACCAATACCTTCCCCTCATGGCACGAGAATGATCATTTCCGCCCGCATATCCACCCACCTCCACAATCTTGCAAAGATGCGTATGGCAGGGTTATTTTAAGCATTGGATAATCTGATCTTTGACAAGTGGTGGGTTCCCCGCTAATGCTTTCTTGTTTTCCCATTATTTCAATTGGTATTCCCGGGTTACTGGAGAGGCTAATCATCTCAGTAACCCCTGAGCACCACTGGGTATGGCTCACCACTCCAACAAAGTTTTTCACTTAAATTTACTAAGCCTCCTATTTTTTATCTACTCACAACAGCAGTAAATCTACTTAATTCACAGGTTGTGAGAGGGCTGAGTGTTTTTTAATGTATGGCCTGATTCTCTAAATTCATTCCAAATACTATAGCTTCAGATACTGCGTGCAATTATTTCATCCTACATCTTTCCTTCATGTCATTTACAGTCACATTAAACTGCTTTTGCAGATCTTGTTATCTCTCATTAATCAGTGCAAAAGAGCATTTTAAAACCTAATCAGAGGAGCCAGATATTAGAAGCAGTTGAGCACATGCTTAGCTTGAGCAAGGACCTGGATTTGATCCCAATACTGCATTGTCCATTGAACAAGGCCTGGAAGAGGCGCCAGCATAAAATTTACATGTAGGGGGAACAAATCAAGAAAAGTGAAAATAATGATGGCTTACATTTTGTTCATTAAAATGTAGTCAAATTATGCAGAATATACACCTAAAACAAATGGAAATAACTTGACTTTAGGAAATTCATCTACAAACTTTCTATGGTAAGGCTTAAGGTAGAAAAGGGTATTCTTTTTTAACATTTCGATACTTTTAGCAAAACCTGTCATTTGGCACAATAACTTGATCCCAACCATTATGATAAAGAAATCATCAGAAAATTGTACAATTATGCTTTGCACGCAGCCAACCCAGGTCTGTTCCCTCTCAACTAATTTGGTTCCACGAACAATATACGGAGCGATCCCTGAGCACAGATCGAGGAGTTAACCCGAGCACTGCTGGGTGTGGTCAAAAAAAAAAAAGAGGGAATCGGTAGATGACCTGTCTCTATAGAAACTCTGAGAAAATCCTCCTAGAATTAATGACAGAGTCTAGAAAGGTTGAAGGATCAGAGAACAATACTCAAAACTTAGCTTTGTTTCTAGAACTCACATGGACAAACCAAAAATGAAACCATGAAAACTCATGGGTGTCCACTGTCACACTGAGGAATATTTCCTAATTCAGTAATAGGTCAGGCTTTTTTTCCAATCAGAAATTGTTCTTTGATGAGTTAAATTAGCTTTCTGCAACTCATGAAATGATGTCATTTTTACATTACAGAGTCTGGGCCACACCCAGCCAGTGCTTATGGCTAACTCCTGGCTCTGTGCTCAGGGATCATTTCTGGCAATGCTGTGCAGGGAACCATAAAGAAGTAAATGTTCTTTATTTGTATGGATTTGATACTGTGTATCGATTTTACTTGTATAGTATTTTCCAAAGTCAGTTACACCACCCTCTGGAAAGTGATGGAACAATCACTTTCAATTGTAAAAAAAAAAAAAAATCACTTTTCTTTTAGTAGTGACCTCAGGTGCAGAGAGGTGAGGAACACTTTCTATTTGTTAGTAAAAAGAAGGTAGATTTCCAAAGGGTTACATGTGATTTCTTTTTTTTTTTGCTTTTTGGGTCACACCTGGCGATGCACAGGGAGTTACTGGCTCTGCACTCAGGAGTTACTCCTGGCAGTGCTCAGGGGACCATATGGGATGCTGGGAATCGAACCTGGGTCAGCCGCATGCAAGGCAAATGCCCTACCCGCTGTGCTATCTCTCCAGCCCACATGTGATTTCTTTCTGAAAAGGGGCAGTAGGTCAAATAAGTTTGGAACTTCTGGTATAGATTGATCATTTTTTTTCTATAGTTTTTAGTAGAATTCAGCAGAGAAGGTGTGTCTACATTTAAGTTTCCTCTGTGGGGAAAATTTTACCTACGATTCTATTTTTTTAATAAAGTCTTATTTCACTTAAGAATTCTAATTTTATTTTTGTTTTTCCTTTTGAGGAGCCATAACGGGCAATATTCAGGGTTTACTTTGGTTCTCTTAAGAATCATGCCTAGTGGGACTGAAGCAATAGCACAGCGGGTAGGGCACTTGCCTTGCACGCGGCCGACCCGGGTTCGATTCCCAGCATCCCATATAGTCCCCCGAGCACCGCCAGGGGTAATTCCTGAGTGCAGAGCCAGGAGTAACCCCGGTGCATCGCCAGGTATGACCCAAAAAGGAGAAAAAAAAAAGAATCATGCCTGGGGAGGCCCAGGAGTGCATATGAGGATTCAAGGAATTGAACCCAGGTCAGCCACGTGCAAGGCAAGTACTTTGCCCACTATACTCTATAACTCTAGAGCTACAAATTACTCCTAATTACCATTTTAGCATATCTTCTAAACCGTTGTTCCTCTGCTCTCATTCAGCTTAAAATACATTCTAATTTTCCTTTCACTCTCTTCTTTGAATCAATGAATTACTTATAAGAATGCAATTTAATTTCTAAATACTTGGAAACTGTCCAAGTCTCTTTCTAGCTTGAATTCAACTAATTTCAACTTTTATCCCACTGCGGTCAAAAAACATTCATCTTATAACTTGAATCCCTTTTAAATGATTCAGGCTTGTTTTACTCTCTGAATAGAATCTATCTTGAAAAATGTTGAGAACAGTGCACAAATGTGTACTGAGCAAGGGGTGAGGGCACCACACCTGGTGGTACTCAAGAAGTCAACCTACTCCTCCTCTGCGCTCAGCAGGATGGAACCTGGGTCAGTCAGATGCAAGGTTGAGTATCTTAACCCCTGCGCTATTCCTCCAGCCACCACTGGTTCTTAAGTGATTCGTGTTGTTTTTCTTTTTCTTTTCTAATTTTTGGTTGAGATTTTGTGGTTTACAATGCTAATAATGGTTTCGCATGCAAGTAATCCCAACATCACACCCAACACCAGTGTACCCCTCCTCCTCCCAAGGACTTAAGACCCTTTCCTCCCAAGCACCCCAGAATCACTTGTGAATCAACTCCCATTATGTTGCCTTTGGAGCTCTGTTGCTGCCTTGCTTTGCATCTTGAAGTCCCACGTCTGAGAGAGCTTATTCTACTGCCATCCCTTTCCTTCTGAATCTT